CTCTTGTCCCGGGAGCTGCCTCCGTTCTCAGGAGCCGCCAGAGACCGAATGGAGACAGAAGCGCCCCAGCCCGGACTGTCGCCCCCGGACTCTGCGCACGATCCTTGGTAAGGCACTCCATTTTGCTCGTCTGCCATGTGCCACCTTCCCTCCATGTTCTTTTATGCCATGATGGGCTTCACAAGGGCATCCGATGGGAGGTACCTGGGCACAATGCTGCGAGTCACCCGAGGCGCCGTGCTAGAAGTTTAAAGGGGGCCTCGATGTGGGAAGGTGTACCGGGGACACTGTGAACCAGGGGACACGGTAATTGGAACCCTTCTGCAGATGGAGGGATGAGATGAGTATCGCGATTGATGGGAAAGTGAGTGAGATGAGGCTGGGAGTTCCAGGTCACTGGAGTCCCTGTGCTGGCTAAACTTTAATTGCCATGAAGATGACCGAACGTGCAATCAGCACTTGTGTCTTTGTGTACAAGTACAATACGTGTCTCCTTTAACCCACACATGACTTTGTGTGTGTGTGTCTTCCCTTCTTGCTGCATGAATGGTACCCAATCACTATAGATTCTGAAAATAGGGATCTTGTTACCTGCTAAAGTAATGGGGGCTTGTGCTCAGGGTTCCTAATCATAATCTATATGGATTGTGAGTAAAAATAACTGTATGAGTAAAAGTGTGAGTGGAAGTATTCTGGCCAGGAAAGATTCAATACTACATCAGACTACTAGAGATGATTTATATTTATAAACATGGATGCTGTGTGATTCTATTACTGACAATGTATTAGACAATATCTACTGTTTTCTTTCCAGCTGCACTTATGTCGGGTTCATTTTACCAATCGTATATGGAGTATTCTGTTGTATCATTGCTTTTTAATGTGTATAATAATATACAGGAGCTGGATGGTAGTGATAAGGCTTCAAGAATAAAATAAAAGGATGCACGGAAAGCTCAATCTTCACACTTCTGTTCAAGTTTTGTCTTCAGCAAAAAAAACTTCCACAATAAGTCTTGGCAGCAGCTTGTGTTTATTACTCTAGTTGGATGACATCGCTATAGAAGTAGCCTGAAAAAGCATAGGTCTCAGATATAGAAATTGCCTTGGCTTTCGTTATCAATAAGGTGCATTTAGTTCCCCTATATCTCCGT